TCTCGCACTCCCCACGGTCTCTCTCTCTCGCTCTCTCTCTCTCTCGCTCGCTCCGCCGCCACGGGTCAATAAGGTATCTATATACATGCATCAATGCTGCCGCAGCCAGGCACACAGGCACTTGCAGCGTTTCAATAAAATGTAATGCTAAATAAATACGAAATCTATTTACTACCAAAGTCACCGCGAATTCTACCGAGAATGCCCACGCTAGCCAGCCGATTACGGCTCGAGCGGGCAGCGTAACATCGGGCAGTTTTCGGGACACGTACACAGGCTCGGCTACGGTGGACTTATCATTATGATTATTATAAACTTATTATTGCATGAATTCAGATACGTATACATGTACTGACATGTAGAACACATCTGATAAAAGCGTGACGACTTGTTATTTTATGTTCTTTAAATAATAACTCGCCGCTCGCGCCGTTCCGCGGCACAAAAACTCCCCGAGCCAGCCTTTGTTTGAGATAGCATTTCGATCATGCCCGGTCGCCACGTGAGCGCGGGGGAGGAGAAAGGCTGGAATGTCGCGCTCCGCCGTCTTCGTAAAAAAAAATTTGCATATATATATATGTGTGTGTCAGTGTGGCGGCGTATTGTAGAATTAGCTACGTGTAAATACTGGCACGGCCACGCCAGCACTTGCTTGCACGACGTGCCGTCGCCACGGGCAGCGCGGGGTCAAGAGGTTGGTTTATATCTCGCACGTACGCAGCCAGGCGCCGTCACGGCGGCAGCGCTTTTGGAGATAGCATCTAGACCGCGCCAGCCCACGTGGAGCGCCGTACACGTCTTCGTTAAAAATATATATATATATATATATATTTGACAATGCATAGTGTTATATTGTTGTGTTTTCTTTTATCAAATGAGAATAAGTAAAGAAACGAGTTTGCTGCGTCTCAGACAATCAGTTCCTTTATTCAGCAGTTTAAAAAATCTGGCTTCTGATTGGTGGAAGTTAACTAACAATCAGTCATCACTCGTATACATTATACATAGTATTAATAGCAGAAGTGTCATAATATATATTATGATATATATATGTGTTATATGACATAATGTATATTTATGATACTCCTGATGATGGTACGTAGCAAGCGTATGGTTGGTATGTGGGTATGGCTGGCTGCAAGCGCTAGTGTGGTGGGCATGATAGCATGGTCACCTGTCCGTGCTGTTATAGGGAAATCAGGGCAAACCCGTGTATGCGCTGGCCGAGCTACAGTGGGGCCCTCTACGAGAAGCAAAGGAGCGAGCTTCCAAGTATTGGTATCTGGGACCACTCAAGCGCAGAGCAACGTACGTCATATCTGTGATGAAGGTAATTAAGCTGCAATTGTGACTCGGTGATACACATATGTTCCAGCTTTGTAGATGTACAGTATATAGGCAGTTGAACGCGTTTTTTTGTGTGAAAAGCTAATTGGTAATGGAAGAGGTGTCCAACGACAAACCCGTGGATTGCACTACACGGGAAATTTCTCGGCACGTTAATCCTTGATATAATTCGATTCAGTTTCCACCAATCGGAGCGCACGCTCCCAAGGCAGGCACCATTGTTAGACTTGTTCCTCATATTTTTCCACGTGAAAATGACCCGGAATCTGCCCAACCAGTAGGCCAGTGGTGCAGCATGCTAGGTTGTAAGTACTAGCAGGGCACTGCCTTTAAAACAAGCTAGAACAGTGGTGATGATTACTAAAAAAAGGTGCTGATCACTTACAGGAATGGCCGCAGTATGTGAGAGCCAAGCTGTCATACGTGCTGCCATGTGAAGGGTGTTCTAAGTGCTACGTGGCACCTCCACCTCCTCCCCCACTCAGGTGGTGGCAGTCAATCCTCCGGACAGAGTCTAATAAAGGTGAGAGAGCTATGGCGAGACTGGATTCATTTGTTGATGAAACTGTGTGGAGAGTGCATTGGGAAGACTGCTGAACTCTCAACTGATTACTGAGTCCCACAATAACCATCTTCACAGTAACACGTGGTGCTTGATTAACCAGTTTACCTTGCGTGATTGAAATAATTAGTAAAAATATGACGTTTGAAAGCTTATACCTTGGTTGGATGAGGCTGGTTGTGCTGCTATTTTGAACATTATCTCACGGCCGATTGTTGCAGTCCCCACCAGCCGAGACTTCTCACAGGTGAAGAATGAGGAATGCGGAATGTGGCACGACCTTGATATTGAGACCATTAACTTCTCTGCTGCGACCAATAATGGACTCCCTAAAAGCCAAGACGTGCGTAGCTATTTGATTTCATATGCTAAATGTAATACTGTCGCCCCTCTAGTGATCTCAAAGTGAATTTCCTATACCCTACTCGTTTGTTGCAGAGCGAAGTTGATTCTATGACGCTATCCGTAGGATCAGGCGCAGTGACAAAGACAGACTTCATCAAGCATGGGTTAGTGATAGCATGAACATATCAAACGAGGATAATACTAAGTACTTATAAGTACTATCCTCTCTTGAACATTGGTATACATATGTTGTACATGATGTAAGTGAGCAATTAGTCACTGTGTAAGAATTGAACCCTCATAAAATATCAAACATTCATACATGAATTATAAAATATTAGTGATAACAATGTAATTATTGTGTAGCATTAACTAACTTAGTATCACTTATGGTAATATATAGATTGTAATAATACCCGTGTCAGATTTGATATCTGATAGAAAAAACACCGTTTTGCTGTGACCACTATAGCATGTTTTTTTCCGGTTAGATTCCAGAGGCATTCGCGGCCCGTAGAGGCAGCCCACGTAACTGAAAATGACCACAAATTGGTTGCGCGAGAGTTCAGGTTGGAACCGGAAGGACTGGAGGACGAGGAGAAACAGGCGTGGTACACGATCGATTCTGAAGACTATGAAGCCCTGCCCGTTCACGTGCGCCTTCTGCCAAAACGCATCCAGCTCTTCTGCAACCCGGAAGCCACGTGATCATGTCACACATCCTACGTCTCATTTCGGGACCACCCGTGGTGTTCATAGTTCATCGGTGATGCCGACAGGTTAACATCCAAGCCTTCAAGGCTAGCTGTCGTGTCTGTATGCTCAGGAGGGGGACAGAGAGAGAGAGAGATGGGAGATATAGTCTTTCTTTACGTTTCTGATAATGAGGCGATGTGTAACATTTTATCCATTCACTAGAGTTGATATGGTATATGTATATCAGATAGGTCATATAGTCTCTTGCTGTAGAAATAGCCGGCTTAAATGGTTAACAGGAAGAGGTATTGTCATTGGACTCTAGATAAGACTAAAATGTCAAGGACTCATTGATCAGGAATTGTGCAGAATGTATTGTATTAAATATTTTACATCACATAAATAGAAGAAAATCTTTCAATAAAATTGGAATAATTTTTTGTATAAATTTATTGTGATTTTCTTTAGAAAAAAAAACCGATTATAACATAGGTGTGGATTTTGCTTTAGTCTAATAAAATATATGCACTATGACAAAGATTAGAGAAGTTATTTCAAAATTTATTACACGAAAATGCACACAAAATATAAAATGTAATCTATATCATCAGGATTAATATAATAGACTGGAAACAAAGAATTACGTCTGTTATGTCACTCCTGATATAACGTATATAATCATTCCCATTTCTAGACAATACTGTAGCCTATATCTACGTGTATAAAACTCGACCTAAACGATAAAATATCACTAGGGCACGAATATAAAATTCTACATTACAAAAATCACACATAGAATCACGTGTAGCCGGTCTGTCTTGTTTTTTACCAGATACAAAATGAAAACGTACCAGCCCCTCAGCTCATGTCAGTTTGATTGTTCGATATAATCATTTTACACTGAAAGCCAATTCATTTATGATTATCCATTTTAATGGAATACCTTGTGGCCGACCTTGGTAAATATGATATTCAGCTTAGCAGTATAAAATCAGGAGTCTATCAATAGTCAATAATCTTTAGATAGACTCCTGATTATATTTTACATTTTAATATTTTAACAGTATTGCATGAATCGCATGCTGGTGGGAAAAGAAACACGATCTACAAAACCTTAGCTTGATGCAGAAAAATACATGCAATATATTTTATAATCAATTGGTTAGTTTGCCTTCTAAAATGATAATGATTTTTACCCCTTTGCCCCCCTCACAGTAAAATTACCCTTCATGATCACAATGGGAAATTAATGTAACTCCATCACATACCATAGTCAATGTCCTTAATCAATTGATATGACATGTAACCATGAATATTATAGGCTTTTAAATCACAGTTATTGAGTATACTAATTATTCCTGAGTTAGGAATAACAAAGACTAAAAGTCGAGTCAGAAGATTTACCCATCATCTTTTTATCTCGTAAGTTTATTGGATAATAAGATTATGTTTAATGGAAAATATGAGCAGTATATAAATTTCTACTAAAAACATCCAATGCGATGCTTTTCATGATAATTTCCAAATATAGCAGTGCACAATCTGTATATATAAATCTATAATATATGTGATACAAGTACCAATATTGTACTGCACTATAAAATAATGTCCTTATCACAAGTTGTTAGTCTTCACATTTTTATATATATACCTCTTATATCACTACGTATTTAGTACGCAAATCATCAGCGTGGCTGTTGTAGAATCGTTTAGGAATTTACTTTCTGTGAGAAATTTCAGACCAAAACAATTAGCAACTTATAACACTTTCTGCAAACTAAATATAATAAAGCTGCCTATATGCTTGCCAGCACAATATATTTGGAATCTCCAAGCCGTAGAATTGTTAGACATTGGATGATATACTGCAAGATCGCACATGACCATCACTACCACTACGACTTTAATGTGCACAAAACTACATACTGTACATATATGTGTGTGATCGGGTGTGTGCATCTGTGTGCATAGGAATGGAGATAGTATTGCAACTGCCCTGATTACGTTATACACCAAAGAGAGCTCATATGAACAAACATAGTCATATAAATCCCTTTAACCATTCCTTGTGCTTCCTTAAAATTTAACATGCTAATTATAGTCTGTGTGTTCATCTGTCTATCTAAATAACTATATAGCATGCAATTGTCCCCCTAATTTTGCTAACTACTTGTTTACAACTAATGTTAGTCCTGTTGTGGATTCGTTCTGCTTACAGTTTCATATTTCTCATAGCAGCTATGGCCATCTCTGGTCTCCTATCCAGTCCCAACACCATATTTTTGACCTATAGCACATAGATTAAAATAAGTGAGCTTTCATGAGACAGCCTTTAGAATTTCTAGCAAAATACAAATTTACATGTAACCACTTATATATTTTACCCTAAATACGTACAACTTCTAAAATCAAATATACTCAACTATATTCCCCCATGACCCCAAAAGTGAGATTAAAAGACAACCAATCACGCCATAAAATTAAGTCATATTGGGGGTCAATTACTCTCAAGAATTGGTGATTAGTTGCAACTCTAGGCTGACCCTTGTTACACCAGTAAAGGCAAACATATTGACGATAATCAGAAATCAAATAGAATCAGATTGAAGCAGTACCTGCGATGAATCGATGATTACAGCACCCTTCCTGCATAGACTGTCGCTCATAGCTTTAGTTTCATCCAGGTCTACACTTTTGAGAGCATCAGCAACAAGTGCAGTGCTGAAGCCAAAGTCTAAAGAATCCTGTGCTGTATGACCTATCACAGAAACGTTGTAGATTTAATTGGATTTTAATTTGGAGCCAAACCCAATCCACAATCACTGAACACACATTGCAACAATTTTACAATTACAATGCCTACACTGAAGTGAAAGGAAGAATTTCCAGCAGAGTGCTTCACAAGCACGACTATTGCATCCACAGATTCGTAAACCAGATCTAGAAACTCATGATAAAAATTGAAGAAAAAAAACATGTCAAAATAATTCAATACACAAGTGAATTGGTACAACAAAGACACAGCTGCTATACACATACTAATACTAACAATACTAATACTAACAATACTAATACTAATATTACAAATACTAACTACATGACCGATTCACTCAGTTCTAAACAATTGGTGGCGACATCATCGCTAGCATTAAAACTTATTAGGTGTGCAACATTCTTTACTGCTTATTGTAAGATTGTAATTACATTATTGTAATAAGATTATTTTATTAGAACACCCACCAACGCACACATCCCAGGCAATGCCGCAAACGAAAACATGGGTGACGCCCTTCTCTTGCAGCTTCTCAGCTAGAGGAGTCTGCGAGACTTTCTCGTTATCCCAGAAACCGGAGTAGCTGTCTAAGTCCGGGTTAATACCCTTATTTATTATCACAGCATCGTTTGGAACCTGTGTAAGAAGCAGATGGTTCATTAGCTTAGCAACAAAATTTCATTGAAGTGCGATGATTGCTTTAACGTGCATGCATGGTTGTTTCACCAAATTATGGCATTTAAACAGTTTGCCAATCACTAGAAGTCAGCCAAGAACCAGATAACCAGACGTACACTTGAGATTTACAGATAGAACTCCCACACAAAGGTCACGGAGGAGCAAATTTTGTAGAACTCATTACTTTCATCTAGCATATTAACAGAGCTAGCTTCACTAAGTCTAATTGAGTTGTATTACTAGATATCAAGTAACCAGCACTTGCTGTCTGAAGTTAGTTCGCGTACACACGTCATGCCAAGCATTCACTCTTCTAGACCACACAGATACACTGGACGCGCTGCGCTCTACCTCAAATATTGCTATGACGGGGGTGCGACAATGAGGTACTATATTTATTATTTATTATATGCTTTCTTATATTATATAACATTCTATTATATTCAATTTTATTTTTTAATCGATTTGCGGCACTCGTCGACTGCAGTCGTACGATTACTGCTCTGCGAGTGGTCATCGTGTAGAGAATCAACCCACACACACTGTAGCCGCGTTTACACGTAGCAAGAAATCCGGTATTTAGCGTTCACACGAGGCAAAATACGAGGCCCAAGAAATACGGTATCTAAACAGATCCGGTATTTCATGTAAATACGAGGCTTCCCAGACCCCGAATAATTTGCCGTGCTTGAGAAATACCGGATTTCTTGGACCGCGCATTTCCTCGTGTGAATGCCAAATACCGGATTTCTGAAGCCGCGTATTTTATAGACTGGTCTGCGCTCGACAGTTCCAGTGTAACGCGAGTGGCACTGTCGAGCGCGGACCAGTCTACGTATGTTATCGGCAGTTGGTGCGCATTGCATTGTTTATTTCGTATTGTTTGCTTGATTTTTTAAAGCTGCTCGCAGCTCGCAAATACCGTATTTCTGGAGCCGCGAATCAGCGTGTCAACGCTCGGCTGCGTATTTGTCTCAGATTCAGTATTTCGCAAATACCGTATTTCATAAATATGAGGTCTCGTGTGAACGAGGCTATTATCAACAGCTGTGAACATGTTTGTTGCATGAGACTCACAGTGAGACCGCGGTGAAGCTCCGCTCCCCAGCTTCCCTGCACGCAGTGCCGCGGCCACATCTTCTGTTGGCACTTGTACTTATCGTCGAATGTCACCGTGTCAAACAGCTGGACCTCTGCTGCTGGCTGGCACATGGGGAAGAGAATATTTGCTCACATGCAACGACACACATGCAATGTATTAGTGTCAGCTTCCAGCATTCTTCATGTCTGTACATCCAACACGTCTTAGTGCATTGAAACCCCGTATTATAATAATGATATATGTGCACACGATATACATGTGATGACTCATAAAATCTGACCAAGTCTTTACACAACATCAGGGATATATGGGAAAAGATTTCTAAAACTTGGAGAGTAACCTCCATATGTTAAAGCTGGGATATATGTCAGGAAATTAAGATGATACCATTAGATAGCCAGTATTCAAAAAGAGAATCTTGCCTACATATTATACCAAAGTTCTGTATTTTTTTACGTACCTACTACCGAATGATACCTAAGCTCATAGTTATTATTAAATATATATGTTACGATTCAAATATCAATCACATGCCGTTGTTTGCTTCTAAGATACATGAAGGTGAATAAAGTCGACCCTTAGCTAATGCTTACCTTACAGCTTGAACCCAGCTTCCTCAATGATAGGTTATCAAAGAAGGAGCAATGGTTGGGTGGATGCCAGTCCTTTGTCACCGCAACAGTGTTAAATTTCACATCAGACAATAACCTTCATAAGAACAGATACGGTTCATTGAAAAATTCCTTAAACGTGCGTATGTGTCATGCACACAGTAATAACAGTTGCAATATTTTGCGAACTCATCAAGCTATCCCTTGAAAATTTGTTCAAACATTGATATAGTAACAGATCTAACGGACCGATTTATTAGTTGTGATTGATATGGATCACTGCTATCCACATGAGCTATTTCTGGTCATTGCCCTGTATTAACCTCTAAACGTTTTACACCATGCAGGCATTCATGGTTACTTAATTAGAATGTTAAACATTCAGCACGCGCCTTATGATGCAGCTAATGAATCATTACTTTATATTCCTAAATAATTATTGTGGTATATCCTCATTAACTAAGTATTCTATAAGTCTATAGTATGTATAGATATAGTATATAATATTATATACGTTCATGTTATCATCTATCACTATTCTAAGAATCAACATGATGGAAATGCACTGCATAAGCATACTTGTTGATCACTGGCACTACTGCACTAGCCTCTTGCTTGGCCGGACAGTTGATAAGCGCCAACGATCCCGAAATGAAATCATTCTGGACATCAACGACGATGAACGCGCTCACTGGATGGAGAATCTTACAAAACCGAAAAACAAAAACATTACAACACCATATATGCAGAATCAGCTATTTACAAAACAGAATGAAAAATAACAAAACACCGGACGTAAGATCAGTGATATACGCAACGGAGCCAGGCACATTGAAACACCATTTTATCTAGAATCAGTGATGAACAAAAAGGAACCAGAAATATTACAATAGCTGCTGTAGAACCAGCGACGTAAAAAAAGAACCAATACCCAGAAATAATACAACACCTGATGTATAATCATGATGTACCGAATAGAATCAGGAATTTAATTCATACATGCATAGTCTGTTCGGCATAAAATGTGATGACAATGATATGTGTACCAGTGCCTACCAGTGCGTTACTAGACCATTAATTTAACTATAAAATATAATTCCATTTTGAAGCTCTCACAAGCACATAACGTCCTCAATTTGGTGGCTTCAGTGCAGCAACCTTGGAATAAGCCATTCAATAGACTAATATAATAAGTCATGCAGCTACTGAAGTAAATTAGTTTCACAATTAATAGGGAATAAGAGGGAAGTCATGGAAATAATTCTGTCATTATTCACCCCTGAATATGTTGTAGCAGGATGCACAAGTACATTAACCAGCTGTTATTGCATTCCATTAATACCTTGTGAATCCAGTTTTTCCAAAGCCTTGTGAAACAGTCCTTGTCGATACCCGAATCCTGGAAATGATATGAGAAAATTTCGATTTTACACACACATTCACACAAAAATAGCATTTACCAATCACACATGTATAACCTCAACAACAACTAATTCATTTCTGTCAATTGAACAAAGAAGGTTTTCTACTTTTACACAAAAATCCTTATAATTTTGTAATTGCGATTGTCACTGACCAAATTTGAGCAATGTGGAGTGCCAAGATATAGCCTGGTCATCCAGATTCCCCATTTCACTTATATTATCGACATGTGAAATATGGTGGATGATTTACTCTACACATTGATTAGTGCTTGCATACATTTAACCAGGAGCGTATAATGACAAAGGAGTAAGACACCGATTTGGTACTGATTTCACTACTTTTTGTCGTACGAGTTCGATGTGAATAAAAATACAAATGTATACAAACATGAGCTTCTTTTGTTCACTGGTCCTTATTCTATCTTCCGGTAGTATTACAAACCGCGTAGCTTCCTTCGTTTTGACATAATTCGTACTTTTCCACGACATGGTTTTCACGTTAGTTACCGTATTCTGGCGAGGCCACCCTCTAAATTCGCACACACAGCTCTTGAATGAGCCACGGCAGGGATCGCGTTAGGCAGCGCCAGCGGCAACTGTACGCGGGCTAGAGATAACGGTTGCTATGCAATTAATGCAAAACACATGTGCGAAAAGCTACAATCGACTGGAGCGTCAGTTTACTCATAACGATTCATACACATCATTCCTCCGCGGGTGAAGTAGTTCAGATATTTTACCAACGCAGCGTTTATTTTTTAAAAAACTGCGGGATTAAACCATAAAAATAAGGCATTCTAACTATAGTTTAAATGTAAAATAGTTTTAATTTTTAAACCCAGCATGGGTGCAACGCAACTTAATTTCTAGGCGAATTTTCTGCACTCGACTAGGCTACGGC